CTTGTTGATGTTTTAAACCTCATCTCCAGAAAAATAATTTATTCAAAATAAATTTATTTCATTTTGTTACAGAATTTGAAATTCACCAGACTAAGAAAAGGAAGGCATATGTTAGATTGTATTATTGCTGAAATATTTATGACCTTTCCCAGTGGGATAATTCTAGAACACTACACCATTCAGATCAGGCTCTGCCATGTGACTTGCAATGCCTCTCTTTTAGGAGGATTGTACATCCCAATGTGTGACATTTGACTTGCTTTGATCAATGACATATGGGAGGAAATGATGAATGACATTTATGGGTATAAGCTTTAAGAGCCAGAAGAGGGGTTTTTTGTTTGTTTGTTTCATTTCTCTCAAAAATGAAACCTGCAATTAGCTCATTAATTCAGGTTCATCACCTTGGGTCCAGAGGAAAGATGACATGGGATGTACAGCTGACCCATGATGAACATTAAGGTGAGAAAGAAGTCTTTGGTTTTGTAAGCCACTGAGATTGTGAAGGGTCATTTTTTTAAAACCACTGTATGGCTTAGCAAAAGCTGACAGATATATGTATTAAGAGATGTAATTCTATTTACCCGCATTTATATTATGAATCACAGTAACTTGTACTACATAATCGGTAAGATATGTTCTAACCTTGTATCATTCAGGGTTTGTGATTGCAGATAAAGACATCAACTCCTTCTAACTTAGAAGAGAAAATTATTGGGGAAATATTGAGCTTCTCTTAGAGGCAATGCTGGAGTATTGAGTATGGAACCAATAGGAATCCAGAGACTGGAGCCTGGATGAATGGCTTGATTATAATGCTGTTACTTTTAGGTACCAGCATCCTTGCTATTGGCATGATTCATGGTCACTGGGTACTAGAGGCCACCATTACCCAAAGCAAAATAAACTTTGAGACATTGTAGCATCTCTGTGTTGCTTGCTCAAGATTCAGATCTTTAAAGGGAGTATCTGATTGGTTAGTCTTAGGTCTCATCCTGTATCTTTCTTGCCAGGATACTAGAAAATCAAGTATATATCCTTTGGGGCTTTTATAATAAGAAGACTCAAAAAAGATTACACAGGCCTTCAGATGCTAAGCAAACCTTACCTTCCACACAAAAGATAAACATCCCCTACAGATTCTTAGAAGGTAAGCAAACTTTGCAACTCCTAATCTATATTTCTCACTAAGTCATGCTTCCCTTTATGTAGATATAACACAAAGCAGTATACCCTCTGTGGTTACCCACAGAGGTGGAAGGTACAAGTTATGTTGGCTCCTCACTCCCAGACCCCCTCTCTTCTGACAGCAGGTAGGCTAACAGGAATCCTAGTCAGATACTTTTGACTCCCGGGTGCCAATCAACATTGACAATTGTGTGGAATTCATGAGATTGATTAAAGTATGTATGTTCCATCATGGTTGAGGGTCAGAATTTCATTTGACCACATTGACCTGAGCCTAGAAATTCTGAAATTTGATCACTGACTATATGTAGATTAAGAATGATGCTCCTGCTGGGCACTGGTGGCTCATACCGGTAATCCTAGCTACTCAGGAGGCAGAGATCAGGAGGATCAAAGTTTGAAGCCAGCCCAGGGCAAATAGTGTGTGAGACCCTATCTCAGAAAAACCCATTACAAAAAACGGTTGGTGGAGTACCTCAAGGTGTAGGTTGTGAGTTCAAACCCCAGAACCACAAAAAAAAAAAAAGAAAAAAAGGTAAAGCACCTGCTTTGCAAGTGCAAAGTGCTGAGTTCAAACCCCATCCCACCAAAAAAAAAAAAAAATGATGCTCATTTTGAGCAACACCCCCCGCCAGTGTTTTTGCAGTACTGGGGATCAAACCCAGGACCTCGTACATGCTAAGTAAACACTACCACTGAGCTATACACCCCCAGCCTCTTGAACAACTTTTTAAGCTAAGCAGTGAATAAATCTGATCTGGTACTTCCTTATATAATTAAATTTTATATGACTTAAGAATTGGTATTAAAAGTTCTGTATTAGTTCAAGAAATATGCTGAACTTAGTTTCTAAGTAAACTGGACAAATATAGCATTGGTTTGAAATATTTAAAATGTATTATATAAATATGTAAACATATGAATAAATGCACTATTAAATATTTTTGTTATATTGTAAAAAAAAGTTTCCTCCAAGAGGGTGAAGGAGGGAGAATATGGTGAATGTATGAAAGTAAACCAATGAACCTTGTTGAAATTGTTCTAAGAAAGAGGGAGGGGAATGAGGGAGAATGATGGAGGGAGTAAATCTAATTAAGATATATTGTTAGCATATATGTAAATGTCACAATATCTCCCACTGTACAACTATTATATGCTAATAAATAAAAAGTTTCTCAACGAAATTGAGATTTTTCTTTAATACATTTAGTAATTTTCTTTTTCACTTAATATTGTATATTATTATCTGTTTTCACTCTGACTTAAGCCAAATCTAATGGGTTTGGGGTTACTTTTGTACAGATTTTATGCTTTGTTTCTCCATTCTCAGTTCAGGTATACAAGAGCAGTTATGCAGTACTGACAACAATCTCTTATTTTTGCCAAAGATTTAGGGAATATATCAAAGTTTTGATTATTTAAATATGTCATTTAGCAGTCAAACTGCCTACCATTGACTTCTGTGTTTTTCCTTGCATGTGGAAAGTGTAATCCAATTTGTTTTTTACAGTACTGAGGAAGGTCTCAAATTTTTCCCACACCAGCCTGGACCATGATCCTCTTACTTAAATTTCCCACTGTTGCTGAAATGACAGGTGTGTACCACTATGCCCAGATTTTTGTTGTTGTTGTTGAGATAGGGGTTTCACAAACTTTTTTCCAGGGTTGGCCTGAAACTGAGATCCTCTGATCTCAGCTTCCCACATAGCTTAAGATGATAGGCATGAGTTACTGTGCCCAGCTATTGGTTGAGATGTGGGTCTCTCAAACTATTTACCTGGTTTGACCTTAAATTGTGATCCTCCACATCTCTGCCTCCCAAGTAGTAATCAACTCAAATTTAATCGGTATATATTTGCTTATTTACTTTGAGATGGGTCTCACCCTGTTGCACAGTCTGGCCTCGAACTCCTGAGCTAAAGTGATCCCCCTTCCCCATTCTCCCAAGTAGCTGAGCTCAGGTGTGAACCACTGAACCTGGCTCTTTTGTCAGTATTTGGGGCCCACTTACTTGAAGCTTTTCATCAAAGATGCTGGGAATTATTTCTTTCAGATTCCAGCTTGAAATGTGAAGTCTAGATTTGATCCCCACACCTAGTGCTCATAGTAATAAGTAAGGTGCCATTTAAACAAAGCAATCTAATGCATAGTAATCTTGATCTTCTTTTTCTTTCATGAATGATACATTGGTGTTTACAGAATACAAAGAGGAAAATTGTAATTAGACAAAGGAAGTCAAGCTAGATCAGTCCTTGAATGTTTTAATCAATAAACAAGTTCATGGAGCAGGAGAGACAGACATCATCTATTCAACTTGTGTCATTCGGCCAACCAAACAACAAAAATCCCACACACTTGCTCTTCGGAGAAGAATCTTTTGATGTACCCTACTCTTGTATAGACAAATAAAGAAAGTGAATGGTGGAAGACATTGGAATATAGTAGCTTTCTCAAGTGTCAATTGACTAATATCCAAGCATTTTTTCTTCCTGTGCTAACTATAAGTTGCACTTGGACTTGTTTGAGTGTCTTATTACATTTTGGAGTAGCCTAAGAATTGCTTGTAGGACCTTCTTAGAACCTTTGAAATTCCCTTGGATTTCTCTGGGCTTACTTTCAGTCAAGATACCACAATTCCACAAGAGCAATTGTTAATAGCTGGTTGGTACTGGCAATTGCACTGATAACTTCCTATTCCATCCCTCCTTGACAATGATTATGACAGGATTTTTAGATGACATTTCTTTAATGACCCTGCAGATTGCTGTTGCAATTTGGTCCAGTGTACATTTTTTCTATTGGAAAATTATGAAGTCCATATGCAGTTTATTGTGTAGCTTTAGTTACTATGTGTTTTAAAATAAGATAATGAACATATTTTCCTCCTTCATATTTTCAACATATTTGCATTTAGAAACCTTTATTTATATTTCTTTTAGGAAAGTGCACAGAATATAGATTTTTTAATTTATTCTTATAAGAAAATTCATTTAAACTCAAACGAACTCAATACTATTTTCATAATTATTCTAAAATTTCTTATTATTTGTGAGTTTTTAAAAAATGTAACCTTGAAGTGCTGAATGAAAGCTATTACCTGAAAACGACTTCCCAAAGACCCAGAGATTATGTGAATTTTTGTGGGCCCCCAAATTATAAAAGTAAGATCGTTTGAAAATAAGCAAACTAAATCTACAGCATAAAATATATGGAGAACTCACTAAGAATACCTTCTTTCTAGAGGAATTTATATCTTACCATCCATGAGTTGAACACCACACATAAAGTAAGGAATTCTGACCTTCTCCAGTGGCACCTTTTGCCACTACTATTTTATATTTAGAGATGACAGAGGCGGCATTTTAACAAGATTAAAGGAAAAAATTTAAAACGTAGAAAAAGTCTTGTTATTTCACAATATCACAACTATATTCTTTTCTCGTCTACCTGTCGTTTGCGGGTTTTGCACATTCGTTTTCATCACTATAATAACATCCTGTGATTGTGCTCGTGAAGTCTGTTTATTTCCACCTTAGCTAAACTTCTAAAAATAACTATTATTTCGTGCTCACTGGAACGTAAGCAGAAGGACACAAGTAGCACCTGACGGGAGGAAAATTGCGGTTTAACAGAGCTAGTCCTTTGGTGTGGGGGATGGTTGGACCCTTTGAGCTCCAGGCCCCGCCTTCCTCGCCCCCACCTTCCCAGGGCCACTCCCAGTGTCCCGCCCCTGGGCCCCGCCTCCAAGTCTCGCCTCCCGGGCCCCGCCCCAGCGGGTCGCCATATTGTTCCCTCCGCCCGGGACAGGAGCAGTTGGAGAAAGAGCTGGGTAGCGCCGGTGCTCCTTCCTCCTGTTTCCCTCCCCCGGCCCCGAGTCCCCCGCCCTCTTTCTGCCCTCATTGCGGCCAAGCGAGCCGGCCAACAGTTCCCGGGGGCGTCTTCCGTGCGGTTGCGAGGTGAGCGGGGTTCGGGACTTCCCTCGGGGCCAGGCAGGGGCTGAGGGGTGGCCCGCCGGTCTTAAGCGCGGCGCGGGCCTCGGGCAGCTGCGGCAGGGGCGCACGGGACTAGCGCGAGTCCCCAGCCGCCTCCGACAGAGGGGACGCCTTATTGTCCCCCTGTCTCCTGCTGACTGGCGCTGGAGGAAAGACGGGTTCCCACACCCACACACCCGGGGAGAAGGACACATACACACCCGGGAAAGAGAGACAACACCCCGGGAGGGGGGGAGGATAGAAAAACTCACGGACAAATACACGCAGTCACCTGCGTGCACACGTACGCCAGCCTTTTTCCTAACCACACAGGGGCAAATGCACCCCACACCCCAGACCAAACCCGACTCGCGACTGATTAATGCGAGGAAAGCAAAGGCGCTCACCTTATTTGATTTTTGGCGACCTTTGACATCCTACTAAGCTGAAGGTGAGGAGCTGGGAATGTAAAGCCACTGCTAGGGGGTGCAGGCGGTTTGGCGCACTATCTGATTCAGGTACTGCCCAAGGTGTCAGAATCTCCTTCCTTTCTTTTTTCCAGCTAAGTAAGTAAAAAAAGGCAAGAAGAGAATTTTAAGTGCTGACCAAATGGCTGGTGGAGGTATCGTGTGTGTTTTTAAGTGATGACACATCCCGTGACCACAGTTCTTTTGAGGAATAACTTCTGCAAGTTTCCAAATTGGCACGTGACCAGTCTTTTCATAGAATTTCACCGTTCACATAAAATCATTGGATTTCTATTGCCTTCTGTTGTTGTTGGGTTTGGTTTTTTTTTAAACGTGTTTATCTTTTCATCTCTGGCAACACTGTAATGGAAAAATCCCTACCTTTCCTTTAATGTCAAAAGCTGTCCAGTGGAGCAAAACTAGAGGTGATGGAAATCCAGAGCTATTCAGTTAGAAACTTTTAAAAAAGCCTGCTTTTAGTTTCTCTTTTAGAAGCTTATGCTGAAGTTCATCATCACTACATGAATAGAGCTCTCAGTGGTGTGGTAGTCTGGTACTTCCATTGTCTTTGTGGATGCTAATTTTCCTTGCTTATACTAAAATGTTTATCGTGTGAGGGTTTATTTTGGAGACTTTTTGTGATTTCAGGATAGTTTTGGTTTATTGGGAAGTTAAGGAAGACAGGAAAAAACTAAAACTAAGTAGAAGCTCCCCCCCCCCCTTTTTTGGTGGGACTGGAGTTTAAACTCGGCCTCACATTTGCAAAATAGGCGCTCTACCACTTGAGCGACACCTCCAGTTCATTTTTCCCCTGGTTAATTTTGGAGATGGTGTCTCCTGAAGTATTTGCTCTGCTGACCTCAAACTACGATCCTCCCCATCTCAGCCTCGAAAGTAGCTAGAATCACAGGCATGAGCCACCAGTGCCCTGCTAAAGAACCCTTTTCTTGCAGACTACGGAAATACCTTAGCGCTATTGCCTCTTACACCCAACCTCTTTCTTCTCATTTTGTTTCTCCATCTGAAATACTTCCATCCAGACTACTGTACTCTGGAGACCTGACGTTCTAGAAATTAACTTTCAACCTCCCTTGATTTCTTACCATTTTCTGAACAGACCCACTCTGATACTCAGATGTCTGTCCATGTAAATCCTGCATGTGCATCATTTCATTGTCATAGCATTTCTGTGGTAATAGCTCCATTTTACACAAGAGGAATGTGCTGGAAGGCAGGCAGGTTTGGTCTCCCAAAGTCACACAAGTAGTGAGGGAGCAGAGCTGATTTTCAAAGCAGGTTTGTGTGATATTCTAGAGTAGTGATTCTCACCTGGGGGTTTATTTTATCCCCCAAAGGGACATTTGACACTGTGGGAGGCAGTTTTGGTTCACACCTGGGAGCAGGGGAGGTGCTGCTGGCCATTTACTGTTTAGAGGCAGTTGCTAACACCCCCAGCCTCAAGTGAAAAGTTTTTTTGGCCTAGTATGTTGCTAGTGTTGGGGTTGAGAAGCCCTGCTTTAGAGCAGCCTGTGTTACTCCAGGACTCACATTTCAACCACTTCTGTAGTTCTTCAAATGCAGTGTCATTTTTTACTATTTTGTGGGGGAGAGGAGTTTGAACTCAGGGCCTCACACTTGCTAAGCAGGCGCTCTACCAATTGAGCCACACCGCCAGCCCTTCATTTTACTATTTAGTACAGGATTTTTATTCTTTTAAAAGCAAGCTGTGGAATCTTCTTTTGAGTAAGAGGCACATTTATTTGAAAGATGGAGTAGGCAAATTTCTGATAGCAGAATCCTTTTTTTGTTTTAAGGTGAAAATGACAAAAACAAGTTGAAAACTATGGAGAACCACAGCAGTGGACTTAGTGAGTTTAGTTTCTGCATTATTCCGGTTGTCCACAAATATTTTCTGAACAGCCTGTCCAACACTGATAGAAAGGTGCTGGCAAGAAGGGTAATGGGGTAGCCTCAACATTCCTTGAAGCTACATTCTAATCACAGTCATAAGATCAGCTTTTGACGTCATCCTAGGACAGAATTTATTGCCTGGGCTATACAAGAACAGAAGCTAGGCAGGTGTTCATTAAGAAAACAAAACACCTCTACATTCAGCACAGAAATACCTGTGTCATGGTGTTTACTGTGGGCAGATTTAGATGAAATAGGGAAAAGTTGATGAATTCTTTACAGCTTTATTCAGTTGATCGTGTATCAAGCCATTTTTCTCTTTTTGAGGTAGGGTCTTGAATTCGTAGTACTCCTGCCTCAAGAAGCCATTCTTGTTTTTTTATTAATTTAATATTTTTTACATTTTTATTAGCATATGTTAGTAGTCCAGGAGGGGTTGCATTGTGACATTTACATATGTGCTTACAGTGTATCTTTTTAATACGGAATTTGCATGTTGTCCTTGTGCAGGGCCCATGCTAATTTTCTCTGTATAGTTCCAAAAAATTTTAGTACATGTGCTAAGGGAGGGAGCACTTTACAGTGCATCTTAATTAGATTCACTCTCTCCCTCTTCTACCCTGTCCCCTTCTTAGGAGCAATTTCAACAGGTTTCACTGTTCTGCTTTATGGGGACACAAAGTATACATTGACCTTTTTCCCATGCCCTTCATGCTCTGTGTTCATACTCACTTTTCCCACTGGTAACCACCCCTGCCGGACAGGACCTGTTTTACCCTCCTGTTGATTTTTCAAGGGGTGTTCACCCTTGTATTTCACACATGTATATATTGTACTTTAGTCAAATTAACTCCCTCTACTACTTACTCTTTCATCTATCATCCTATTCAGCAGGTCTCAGCCATTCTTGCTGAGCATAAAGTTTTCCCTTAAATTTGGCTTCAGTGGACAATACTTATAACTGCATTTTTCTTTGAAATCAAGAAATAAATGATGAAAAATTAAAAAATACCTTTTGCATAATTTTCTTCATGTGCCTATGTAAGACCAGGTCTTTGAAAATAAGTACTGCTTCATTCTGGTGCCAAATATAACTGTTAGGTGAACTGTGGGAGTGGCTGATTGAGAGGAGGAGTCAACAACGGCTGGAACTCTTTTTAGGCATTACTGGGAAAGTGTTATTCAGGTAGTCAATATGGCATGTTTTGGTTTTTGACTCATGCCAATGTATGATGTGTTCTTTGCTAACAAATGAATTTCTCTGCCTCTTACCAGGAGTTGTGGGCTGTGGGGTAGGGGTGAGGGTGGGGATGCTGAATTACATACATGAAAATGATTGTTGTCACATGGGCTCTAAAAAAAAGGTGGATATTTTATTGTGGGAAAGGTCAAGAGGAATTGGTGCCAGAGGAGTCTTGCTCAATCACTAGTTGTTTTGCTGCTCTAACCAAGTTAGGTCACCACATTTCTTTCTTTTTAAAAATGAGAAGACAGTTGTGCTTCATAATCTCTAGAGAGTATATGACACCAAGTAAGGACGGCAAATTATTAACTTCCACGAAATTTGTTGGTTCAGTAGCAGGAGGAAATAAGCCAATTAGAAGTGGTGCTGGTGTTTGGCCAGTGCATCTAACTTGAAAGCTATCTAGATAATAAATTTTGTTAGTCAAAACCTAGCATAAGAAAATAGAGCTTGTGACTAAGTAGGTCATCAACAGAGACCATTTATTATGAATTTTGTGGGGAAGAGTGGAGGTGAACTCACAAAATGCCTCAGGGAGTTTGGTGGGTAGTTATGGTGCTAATGGAAGATCATGATACCTGTGGGAGGAGACCTAGAGCCACCTAGGTGTGTAGGTAGAGGGGCAGGGAGGAGAAGCTAGGCCTGCCACAGTCCCAGGCCTCCATTGCCAGGGAGCCTGGGGGTGCCTGGACTGGTTAGATAACTTAGAGGAGAAATCTCTTTCCCAATGTGACTTGATACTGTACAAGTTGAAGTTATGTCCTGGTATTTCCACATTCTGGATTTTTCCATTTTTGTTAATTTTTGACTATGGTGAGTGGGCTTTAGAATGCTGTTGCTTATCATGAACGTAGAAGGGGTGACCAGAACTGATGAATGAACACAAGTAATGTAACAGCTATATCTGAATGGAGTGCTGGAGGTGGGGTGGGGAGGGTAATAGTTTTGGAAGAATAGAGAAGTGAAACAGGCAGTCCAGGCTTCACGTTCTGTGCACAGACTCCATTTTTGTCTTATGCTTGATGTGTTACAAATGCACACCATTGCTTGACGGGTGGGGAAACAGTATAGAGCAACTCCGTGCATTCATCCATTTCTTTAAGTGTGAAGGTTCGCACACTAGTATGAAGATGCTGAACTATTCCAGTTCCAAGTTCTTTTGAATTGGATTAGGTTCGACGGTACAGAAGTTAAGGTAGCTTCCAGAAGGTTAATTCTTAAAAGGGTGACTGTGTTTTCAGTGTTGGAGAAGCCCAAAAAAAGCCTTACAAACTTGTTTGTAGAACTTGCTATGTAAAACTCTAAGGGATAGGAATGTTTAAATGATGCTAACTGGTTCAAAAATGTTACAGATTGGGGGTTGG